CATTTCGATGTCATAAATATTCATCTTAATTTCGCGCTTTACTTTCCTTTTTCTCTTTTGCATAACCCTATTAAGTGTCTCCCAATTAAAATCTACAAGAGCATCACAATTAAACAAAATTTCTTAAATTATTGAAATCCAAAAAAAAAAAAAATCTAATTTCCATTTTAATCTTTTCTTATTCAAACAGAAAATCTTAACTTTTCGCTTGTTCCCTTTATCTCCACACCCTTTTCACATAAATTCTTCAAATTCCTAAAAATCCTCCAAACAACCTATTCAAACCTTACATCACCCACAATCAATACCTCCCATTTTACAGATTCACCATATTAACTAAATCCCACTACGAAAACAAAACAATTCACACACCATACTCGATACTACTTTCTAACGACAAATTGATTGATAATCGTGTCTCGAACACGAGGCAAATCTCAATAAAACAGCTAATCGTAAAAAGGGTGATCGAAGCGTGATCGTTGCACGGTGTCAAGGAGTATGGAAGAAAAAGTCAAGGAAAAAGGAGAGGCCACGCTATGAAATCACGAAGGACACACCGTGCTCTTATATACAAATCGCGTATACCTCCATGGGACAGACTCGGAGGAGAAGGAAGTGGTCCGTTCGTGCACAGGTTTGCTCCAATGTGAGAGAGAGAGAGAGAGAGAGGAGGGCCGTGGGCAAAACGATCGGTCGTTTTCGAGACGTTGTTCGATATAGGTGGATGTAAGGCGAAGCTTGGGAACGGCTAACGCAGGTTCTAGGAGCGTAAAGGCGTAAGCGTGGTAGTGATAAAGTTGGCGTGAGTAGGAGAGAGACTACTCCTCTTTCGTCTGCAGACCAACGGCTGCAGGAAACGTTGCTAAACGTCCATGGAATGCTGGGAAAGTGATCGTTCGATGATCCGGACTTTTACTGAACTTTATGCCTCTCCCCGGCGAATCGTGTTCCCGCGGATGGAATGCACCAGCGAACTATCTTCTTTGATCTTCTTTCCTATCGTTTTATTCTCCGTTTTTCTAGTTTTTCTTGTCCTTTTTGAGTTTCTTTGAAAATGTAGGTTGTGGCATTTGTCAATTTTATTCTTCGCTTTTCTATTTTTTGACACATGATTTTATACACTTTTGTTTTCAAGGATTAACTAGTTTTATTGTTCCAAATTAATACAAACATTATCGGTCCTTGAATTCAAAAGTTTCATTATTCCAAATTTGGAAAAATTGTGTCCCCGAATTCGAAAGTTTCATTATTCCAAATGTATAAGGATCATCAGTCCTTAAATTCAAAATTTGTATAAACATTATCAATTCTTGAATTCAAAAGTTTCATTATTCCAAATTTGTAAAAATAATCAGTCCTTGAATTCAAAAGTTTCATTATTCCAAATTTATAAAAATTGTCCTCGAATTTAAAAGTTTCATTATTCCAAATTTATAAAAATTGTGTCCCCGAATTCGAAAGTTTCATTATTCCAAATGTATAAGGATCATCAGTCCTTAAATTTAAAATTTGTATAAACATTATCAATCCTTGAATTCAAAAGTTTCATTATTCCAAACTTATAAAGATCATCAGTCCTTAAATTCAAAAGTTACATTATTCCAAATTTATAAAAATTGGGTCCTCGAATTCGAAAGTTTCATTATTCCAAATGTATAAGGATCATCAGTCCTTAAATTTAAAATTTGTATAAACATTATCAATCCTTGAATTCAAAAGTTTCATTATTCCAAACTTATAAAGATCATCAGTCCTTAAATTCAAAAGTTACATTATTCCAAATTTATAAAAATTGGGTCCTCGAATTCGAAAGTTTCATTATTCCAAATGTATAAGGATCATCAGTCCTTAAATTTAAAATTTGTATAAACATTATCAATCCTTGAATTCAAAAGTTTCATTATTCCAAACTTATAAAGATCATCAGTCCTTAAATTCAAAAGTTACATTATTCCAAATTTATAAAAATTGGGTCCTCGAATTCGAAAGTTTCATTATTCCAAATGTATAAGGATCATCAGTCCTTAAATTTAAAATTTGTATAAACATTATCAATCCTTGAATTCAAAAGTTTCATTATTCCAAACTTATAAAGATCATCAGTCCTTAAATTCAAAAGTTACATTATTCCAAATTTATAAAAATTGGGTCCTCGAATTCGAAAGTTTCATTATTCCAAATGTATAAGGATCATCAGTCCTTAAATTTAAAATTTGTATAAACATTATCAATCCTTGAATTCAAAAGTTTCATTATTCCAAACTTATAAAGATCATCAGTCCTTAAATTCAAAAGTTACATTATTCCAAATTTATAAAAATTGGGTCCTCGAATTCGAAAGTTTCATTATTCCAAATGTATAAGGATCATCAGTCCTTAAATTTAAAATTTGTATAAACATTATCAATCCTTGAATTCAAAAGTTTCATTATTCCAAACTTATAAAGATCATCAGTCCTTAAATTCAAAAGTTACATTATTCCAAATTTATAAAAATTGGGTCCTCGAATTCGAAAGTTTCATTATTCCAAATGTATAAGGATCATCAGTCCTTAAATTTAAAATTTGTATAAACATTATCAATCCTTGAATTCAAAAGTTTCATTATTCCAAACTTATAAAGATCATCAGTCCTTAAATTCAAAAGTTACATTATTCCAAATTTATAAAAATTATCATTCATTAAATGAGAAAATTCTTTGAACGCTATTTTCACAGTGTCTTCACTTTAAAATAATTTATTTATTAAAAAAATCGTTCAGGTGTTTGAAGAATTGGTAGTCTCTGTGAGAAAGGCCAAGTGAATATGGGGGGAGGCTATGGCAAAATTTCGTATTCTTTACCGTGGATTTACGAATTCTTAAACTTAATTGTTCAACAGGTGGTTGAATATTTTCATTTGTAAACAACGTGCCCGTTTATGTTTCAGGCTATCGCCATGCGTCTGTTCAAACGTCAGTCCTGTGATACCAGCCCTCAGCTAGTTTCGGCTACCCCGTTGTCTCAGGATGGAACTGTATCTTTGGCCGCAGTGGATGAAAATTCCGATCGAAACAGCAAAGTTTCTCAGAACGAAATCGATGGATTAACTCGAACGTCCATCAAGGAAAGCGTCAGCGACGTGCAAAAACCGTCTCCGTCGCAGACTTGTGTTTCAAATCGTAAAGGTAATTACATTTGAATATTATTCGTATGCAACAATAACAAATTGAGAAATGATAAAGTATAATAAATTGAATAAAAATAATAAATTAAATATATCGAATAATAAATTGAAAATGTCATTCTGAAGCACTTGGATCGTTTTCACAGTAGAACAATACAAATAATGCAATTTTAATTAAAATAAAATTTCTCCGATTTCCGTAGTTTAAAAAATGTATAAGTATTAATAAGTCTACTAGACTGCCTTGCATACTCGAGGATAATACTTCCAAGTTTGTGGTTAATCTCATTTCCTAGCCTTCATCTTCCTTCTCAGTTCCTAGCCTTCGACTTCCTTGTAACGAATTTGAATTAACGTTATCATCCTTGACTCTCTTAAATTAGTGTCACACTTCTCCAACACGTACTTAACACATTTTCCTTAATTTCACTTCTTGCTTAACATAAATTTACGCTGCATAAGTAACACTGCATATTTAATCTGTGCCCTAGTAATTCACCTAAACTTTAATATTCATCTAAACGCTAAACAAATTTTTCGGCACTAAAAGGCACTGTAACTTTCTTTTCCTATTTAATTTTCAAATATCTATGAAATTTTCATTGTTGGTCTTTATGATAATGCTGCAGCTAATTTAATATATCGAATATTGTATTATTAGTATTCTTATAACAAATAATTATAAATACAAAAAAAAGATACTATAGTAAGTTTTGCATAGATCTATTAATTGCAAGTGCTCTCAACGATAGTAATCATAGACACATGAATCTCTTTTAGTTGCAGCAGATAATTATCGACGTCTAATTATAGGGAGAAAATTACTATTTCAAATCTGGTTTGTGTTGCAGGAATTTCAACATGGGGTAGAAAAGTAGGTCGAAGATGGGATCAGCTGAAGAGATCGGACAGCTCTGAATTGCTGTCGGTTTCGGGCCGAAGGAGACGATGGAGTCCGAATCGGAAAGGCAGCACGACAGATGAGAAAAGAAATGTAAATATGTCACTTTCTTCAATAATTAGCACTTAACCAAGTGATTGAAACGCCTCTTGATGTTGAATTCATTTTGCTGATTAATTTTTCAGGTCTTTGAACGAAGAATTATACTTGGAATAATACTTACCTCGAAGCTTCTGTTGCAATCAATTGATTTTGATTTTATTTGCAAATTATTTACACAAGGAAACGCACAGAAACACGATCATTTATTTGAAAATAATTTTGCAATTTATTTACAGAAGGAAACACACAGAAAGCACAATAATATATTAAAAAATAATTTTGGTAATTTATTTACAGAAAGAAGCACATAAAGGCAGAATAATTTATTAAGGAATAAATTTGCAATTTATTTACAGAAAATGACACGCATAAAGCGCAATAATTTGTTAAAAAATTAATGTATAATAAATAATAATAAACCACTATTGTACCATGTAAATATTGCGCAATTAATTTGGTCACAGTGATATAGCACATATTCGAAAATGAAAACTAAAAATACCAAATTTTTACCTTTTCTTTCAACGCCAATAACAAGAATCTGTGATTAATTTTCAGAGTGGCAGCGGGTCGCCGGAATTATCAAAACCAAAGAGAATATCCAGGGTGGAATCTCTTCGAAATTTATTCAGGAGTAGCGAACGAAGCAGCAGTTTTCTAAACAGCGACGTATCAGCTAGAAACGTGACGATACAAGAGGAAGACGTCACCTGCATCAGTCATTACCCGATGGAGAAAGCTCTGAGCGAGGGTGCGATAAAGAACGCACCCTTTTGCGTTAGTTCAGACGACAGCCAGCTGAATTCTCGTGGAACGCTTCTCCACGAGAAGAAGAAACAGCTAAGTCGTAGCATCCAAGACCTCCAAGAGCAGCAACGTGTTCTAGATTACATCTTGAAGAACCAGGATATACTTAAGACGCAGGAAGGAACAGCTTTCGCGAGGGAAACTCTGGACAAAGTTAGGAGAAGCGAAAGTCCAAAACGACGAGCTAGTCAGTCCACTACGGACGGCGCAAAAAGCAGCGTTTCCACGCAAACCAGAGACTTCTTCAGCAATCAGATTAGCAATATTAAGAGGAACCTTTTCAATGTGCGCGCGAGTGCCAGTGAATGTGACAGGTGCTGATTGAAATTTTAAACAAGAATTTAAGACAAATTCAGGACAAAATAGGATTTTTTTTTATGGAGAATTTATGGGTTTAGAGGGAGTTAGAAACGATTCTCATCTCGCAACAAATAAAGTGTAAAAAGGTTAAAAATACTGAGATCACGTGTAAAATTTTTTAACTTCTTACGAATATTTTATTTCACAAGACACAAATTCTAGGCATAGGATCGTTAACTTGAAATTTACTTGCATAAATGCACTGTCTAAACAGCAATGAGTATATTGATAAAATCTGAGACCCTCTGAAACCATTTAAATTCCACTATCACAGCTAGAGAAGATAGGTAGCCCTATTTCACATAACCCAAATATACTAAATATCCTTTCCATTTTCAGAGCCGATAATCAAAGACCTTGCCCGACAACCGGACTAGAAGACCTCATGAGCAATCTGCGACTAGCCTGCGACGAGAGTGGTTACGACTCCGACAGCACACGAGCTGGAGCTGATTCTCCGGACAGCGGGAAATCTGTACCACCTATGCTAAAACCTCGTAGTTTCTCCATAACCTCCGACGATTACCACGGTATCGACCTATCGCTACCAGTCAGCACTCCAAAGCAGAGAGACGCGACGACAGAAACGGAAGAGAACGAACCAGGACCTTCCTGCAACGACGACACTGTTATCATCAGCAAGAGTCTCCTAAATGAATCTGTAACAACTGATACCACTGTGCTAAGATCAGACGAAGAAGACACAGACAGCTGCGACGAGGACACGTTCGAAGGATTCGCGGAGTATCAAATGAACTGCGCGTTGGAGCAAGCTAAATCTAGTATGAACACGTTAAGAAAATGTGACACCAGCCTGTCCAAAGGTTCCACGCAATGTTCCAGCAATAAAAACTTTGACCAACAGAGAACGTTATCCAGAAGCACCGAAGTCGCGAGGATATCCGAGAAGAGATCGTTCGCGAAGACGGAGCAAACAACGTTACCCTCGCAGCCCGATAAATTGCAGACTTCGCAGAAAGAGACGAAATCTCAGATACCGCTGAAGACGCGAAAGCACACGAACTCCAGCAAGTTGAATTTGCTGGAGAACGCTGCTTCTCCGTGCAAAGACAGTCCACCGGCGTCGAAAATCTGCGCTACGATAGTGAGCAGTCCGTTGCAGTACTACAGTCCAAAGAGGTCGAGATTGAACATGGAATCGGACTGTCCTGAAATCGTGAACGTGAGAAACAAACAGAAGAGAATGACGCAGATGAGTAAAATCGAGCATCCAGCGCCGCTTCTGCCGACACCGGCTAAGACCCTAGTCCGACGTGAATTGAAGACGATGAAGCTGTCCGTGGATAAATTCCGAAGTATCGGGATCTCCGTGGAAAGAAGAGAAGCTGTCAGACCGTTTTACGTAATTTCGAAGATGGACGTGAACGGAGAAGCGGCGAAGTCGAAGTTGTTTCGAATCGGCGACGAGATCGTTCGCGTTTGTGGGCGCAGATTGCGCGGTATGTCGATCATCGAGGCGAGAAATGCGTTGAAGAACTGTTCTGGGATCGTAGAGCTGCAGATAGCTAGGGAACCAACGTTCACCTTTGGAGAGGAATTAGGCGACACTTGGGGCGATATTTTGGTCCGCACTCGAAGCGACTCCGAGGTGTGGACGCTGAAGGAGGAGAAGACGGGTGTTCAAGCTTCCATGGACATCGTCACGAGAGAGGAGGAATCTTCGCAATGTAAAATAGTAGGCGCGTTGATGAAAGACGGGAAGAATTTGTCCGCGAGCTCGATGGAGCGGATAAAGAGCGAATGTGATTCTACCTTGAAGAAGCAATCTGATCAGAAGATGACTGGCATGAGGAAGTTCCACGTGGTGAGGAAACGAGCGATCAATCCTGTCTCTTGTCCACGTAGAGCGACTAGTCTGTCGATGGATCTGTTGACCATTACCTTGGAGAAGGGAGCACCGAAGAAGTTAGGCTTCTCTATAGTCGGTGGATCGGATAGCAATAAAGGATCGATGGGGATCTTCGTGAAAGATATCATGGCTGGCGGCCAAGCGGCTGAAGAAGGGACTTTGAAAGTGGGGGATGAGATTCTGGCTATCAATGGAATATCGATGGACGGATTGACGCATGGAAAGGCGTTGCAAACCTTCAAGGCTGCCAAGGCTGGGAAAATGGTCCTACACGTGGGTCGTAGGGACCCAACGCACAAACGGTTGGGTTACAGGCGATAAAGAGTATTGGTGTCTCTAATTTTGGGTTAGTTCTTTGGTGCTTTGCTTTATTAATTGGTTCTCTAATGGCGCTGCCCTTGTGCAAGTTCTGCTTTGTGGTTCGTTAAACTTTTGCGGATTTTTGTTGATATAGAATAGACGAGAATGGAGAAATTTAGTGCTTTTTGGAATGGCGGATTATTTAGTTGTGCAAATGTCGATCCACTTTGATAGAATTTCTATTTTTTTTAAATTGTAATTTTTATTATAAAATTTGAAGTCTATGTAAATTTGTATTTTTTATATAGAGAGTATAGATCCTTAAGATTGTTGGATGTCTAATTGGATTGCTAAATTTATTTACTTTGACATGGACATTAGAAATATTTTATGTCATACAGAATTCTAAAATACTGTAATTACATAATGTAAAGTAAAATGTTAAATGATCATATGAATAATCTGTCATTCAAGTTTCTATTCAAGCTTCAATTCATGTCACCCGAATGTAATTCCTATTTCAATTTAACAATCATCTAACTTTTCATTTGAACTTCTATTTCTAGTTTCATTGTGTTAATATATTGAATGATTATGTTACAGGTACATAATTCAATCGAAATCGTACGATTGTTTGGACAAGTTAACAGAAACTGGGGACGAATGAAATACCACGGAAACTCGAGAAATTGAATCATGTCAGTCATTAAAATTATACTTGCCTTCGTCATGTTTGAACGTGTGAATTACATGTATTAATCGAAATAACATTATTTTCTTTATTGTTGCAAATAAGAGAATGATGTATATACATATATTTTGTGTGTAATTGAAAGCACGTTGTTACGATTCACGGACCATCATAACTCATTATAATACATCAATTACCAGCATTGTAATTTGAACGATTTATTTTTCGTTTCAATGTAAAAAAATTTCTTTTCTATCTAGGATTAATTCAAACCTTCGCAATTTACAATTAAAGTGACTCGTAATCAACGTGCAAATTATTGTTCGTAAATATATGTCGTGTATGTGCGAATCGATTTAGATTTACATTAACTAATTTTCTTAAGGCAATAATTGTGATATCAGTTAACTATTTCTACTAAAAACGCAATTTACGATGTCTCATTAATTTTAGTTTCAGACTAACGAGATCAATTAATTTCGCGTCGAAGCTTTCCTTCGAAAATCAAGATTTCGCAAACTATTAAGTTTGCGAAGAATAAATTTACATTAACTACTTGAATAATCAAATTAATACCGTTCGATGCGTTCGATTATTTGCAATATACGTAAAATTAAGAGTAGAGAAACGTGTGTTATGCTTCGTGTAGATTTTTCGAGTAATATTCGGTTCTTTTATCTGCAAAGACTCGTTTGTTTCGATGTGCCTTTGTTCACGGTATCATTAGAAAGATTGTATTAGGTCATCCCGTAAGTTCGTGCGGAATTTTATAATTTGGATCAATATTTCCCACGAATCTTTAAATTTGATAAAAATAATGTAAGCGTCTTCTCATTTCACATCTTTTTTCTATTTATTTTAGTAAGACCATTATATCATTGTTATAGTATTTCCTTGGATGTTCAATAAATTATTTTTCGCTGTCGGCACGAACTTACGGAATGACCTAATATTTGTAACAATTAACTATAACAAATAATTGTATATAGTCATATCCTGTTAGATGTAGCACGCTAACACGTTGGATTATGGCTGTTTTGATTTGATGTAGCGAAGATTTAACTTATGTTTTATTTAGGAAACATATGTTTGTTTAATACGAGCTACAGGCCAACTTGAATGGAAATTCATTAACTGGGATGAGTACTCATCACTTACTCACTACTCAATTAGATTGTAAGCTTAGTGTTTAGCTGGTTAATAATTTTAAGCTACTGAGACTGACATTCAGAATGTCTACCTGAGAAATGCTGTGATATTCATTGTAGTCGCATTAGCTGGTATCGTACAAACTGTATTTAAAATAAACCTGGTTTTGTTAATAAATGTATGTAAATGGTTAATTCGCTTTCTTTGTTTTATAACTCTCTGACTAACATTCATTTTTAAGCAACCTTTTTCGGAACTTTTTAAATAAAGTACGGTACAGGTGAACATTTGAATTGAAAGAACGTTTGCAGATTTGCTTTTTGTGTGAAATAGTTTATAAAAAAATGTTTGCTCGATATAAAGTCAATTAATGTTTATCTTAACTTAAGAATTGGTTTCAACGATTTCTTAGTGTACAGTTAATTACTAATCTATTGCAATACAACTTGTTATACTGATCTTGATACATTTTACATGTACAAAATATTTTATATATTTTACAAAACATTTTTCCTTCACAATTAATATTAATTTATACGGAGATATAAAAACTGAATGTATTACACTGTAAATTAATTTATATAATTCTACGTATTACGTTTTATCCATTCGATTACATAGACAATAATACTTAACAAAAACTAAAGATTGTCGAGAGAATACGCTAAAACTTGTGCAATAAAAATTCTATCCTCTGCTGACTAATATAAAAGGATGTGCATTTCCTAAAGAACCATTAACATATCGCATCTAATAAAACTTCGACACAATCATAGGTAACGTTACAAAGTACACATTGTCGATATAAAGAGAAACTACACTATACAATTACGGAGTTGTTAATCGAGCAGAAGAACAGTGCTTAATTAGCCAATATCACAATACGATATCACAATTTTGACAACGATAATATATCTATCATATTGTGAAATATCTACCACTCCGTTACCAAAGCGATGGTACATAAACAATAATGCTAATTCTCGAACCAGCAGTAGGATAGATGGGGAAGGGAACGGCGTATAATTACCTTTAAGATAACGCAGAATAACTTGGTAATTGGTCTCTGGAGATGTGGTACGGGGATAACTGCAGGGTAACAGTATAATTATCCTAATGGAGGAAGGTAAGTTGGTAAGCTGGAGCAGGATAACTAGATGGAGCTGGAGCAGGATAACTCGCTGTGGAGCTGAAGATGGAGAATAGTTGTACAGGCAGGAGTCGACGACGGTGATGCTGGAGCAGGATAACTGTAACTTCTAGTGGGAGTTGAACTCTAGTAGCCGGACGCTGAGGCGTAGGCAGAAGAACCGGCAGACGGAGCTCTGTTGATTGCTGGATAAGTATTCACCGTTGATGTGGCCGTGGCAGCATAATTTCCAACTGGTCCGAATATTTTCTCCGCATTTCCAGATGATGTTGCCGATGCTGCTGCGTTCGATGCGTATGTTGCCGGTGCTTGGGGAGCTTGTTGGACACCTTGGCCGTATGGAGGTAGATACGTCGGTGCTGGTGTTGAATATCGTATTGGCGGAGGTGGTGCTGGTGGTTGTGACGGCGGGAAGTAAGCAGGTGGTGGTGGTCGACGAGGAGGAGGAGATGGCGGTCGACGAGGAGGAGGAGGTGGTGGTGGCGGCGGTGGCGATGGAGGTAAGTAAACAGGCGGTGGTGGTTGTGGTGGTGGAGGAGGAGCTGGTGGTGGCGAAGGAGGTAAGTACACAGGTGGAGGAGGAGGTGGCGGTGGTGGAGGAGGAGGCGGAGGAGGAGGAGGAGGAGGTGGTGGTGGCGGCGGTGGCGCCGGTGGTGGCGATGGAGGTAAGTAAACAGGCGGTGGTGGTTGTGGCGGTGGAGGAGGAGCTGGTGGTGGCGAAGGAGGTAAGTACACAGGTGGAGGAGGAGGTGGCGGTGGTGGAGGAGGAGGCGGAGGAGGAGGAGGAGGAGGTGGTGGTGGCGGCGGTGGCGCCGGTGGTGGCGATGGAGGTAAGTAAACAGGCGGTGGTGGTTGTGGCGGTGGAGGAGGAGCTGGTGGTGGCGAAGGAGGTAAGTACACAGGTGGAGGAGGAGGTGGCGGTGGTGGAGGAGGAGGCGGAGGAGGAGGAGGAGGAGGTGGAGGCGGAGGTGGTGGAGGATACGAATAACTTGGCGGCGAAGGGGGTGACGGAGGATAGTTGTAAGTTGGTGGCTGTGAAGGTGGAAGAGGAGGTGATTGTCCGGGGTATGAATAATTTGGCGGCGAAGGGGCTGGTGGTGACGGATTATAACTAGGAGGACTTGGTAAGGAAAACGGTACTCTGGGTACGTTGTAAGAGTATCCCGCTTGCCGGACTGTCCTTAGACCTTCCCCAGCGGCGCAGCTGATCGACAGCAATATCCTCAACTGTATGCGTGTCACAATTAGCGAATGTTCGCAAGAACGTTAGCAAATTCTTGTCGAAAACTACGTACCCATTTCAATGGCTGCATAATCAACTTACGTATAGCAAGTGAGCAAAAGTGACAACGCCTTTTATACGAATATCTGGCATTGCTGTTTCATAAAACCGCGTGTTTCATAAGATTTCACAAAATAGGTTCGCCAGCTGGCTATTATATTATTCGTGTCCTAGTTGCACCGAGGGTTATTACACCCGCGGTGATTATACTACTCGAGCGGGGTGATTTTTGTCTTGATGTCTGTTTCATCTTACTCGAAGACCTTATTGTGTGGCAACGTTGAAAGAGGACACGTTGTTCTGTTACTGTTGCGTCTTCAGGTGCATAATTTAACCATAATACGTAAGGACATTTCTTTACTTAATTCACGGCAACGTTGCCACAGTGACATGATTAAAAGGAGTTTCTAGTACCTTGTTCTTACTTGTCTATTAACTATTCACTTTTGTCGTTTGCTAACTAAACTTAAAAAATTCCCCGTTTCATGATGAAACTATATATACAGACCATTACACATGTTCATATATGTATACATAATATATTATTTACAAAAATCCTGCTCTTTAATGGGAAAAAGAACAAGTAAATATGAAAAAATGATTTTCTTGGAAATATAAAATTTCAAAATATAAAATCTTTTATGCTTCCACGAAGCATATTTTCGCAGATTTTCAATTAAACGATTCCAAGTTTGCACGATTAAAAACTGAAGATTAAGTTTCTTAGCGGGTAATTGCTAACGCGTATTGTTAGCCATACCAACATTCTTGAGCTAACGCAAATTCACGCTACTTCATCAATCATTTCGCCACGCGAATCGCAACAAAAACACGTCTCACCTCGGGAACTACATAAACTTCCCCCGTGTTTCAGGTTCTATCGCTTTTTCCAAGCATCGCGCTCAAAGTACATAGCCGCCTTATTACCTGAGCCAACCAAATCCTACGATTCTGTCACGGTTCATTCAGTATGCGTGAACGCAGCGGGTACAGCTGCTTCTGCATCGCATAGCGCAGTACAAAATCGTGTTCATCGTCGGAAGCATCGAGAGAACAACAGATTCTCTGTGAACGAATCGGATGAAACAATCGTGTTGTCAAAGTGTGAACAATTCAGTGCAAACATCCATCTTTTTCAGAGAAGTATTCCTTAAACCATGCTACTGACTTTCGTTAAGTGAAGAGAGCTAACATGAAGTCTCTGGGACGAAATTTAAGGTATTTCATTGTTAATTGTTTATTTGCATTTTATTACTTTGATTAAGCTCTGTAATGTTGCAACAGAAGTTACGTTTGTCGAATAAATTGTATTAAATTTGAGTGAAAATTGTTTTATCCGATAAAGCGGAACGCACAGTAACTCCTATAATATTATCAATAATGGACATTAATTTC